CTGCCCATTTTGCCACTTTCAGGTCTTCCTCACCCTTGCCTTGGGGTGTTCCATTTTTTCATAGGTGCTGGCAGATTATGGGCCTTTCATTGCTGCTGCAGGCCTGTAATCTGCCATGAGCCCCTGTACCGCCTCATCATGACTGGCTGCAAGGTCCAGAGTCTCTCTATTGGGTCTCCTGTACGGCCTCTCCCATTGCTTGCTGCTCTCCATCGCCACACTTGCATGCTGCCACTTTCAGGTTCTCACACTGTGGTGGGTTCCATTTTAGTCAGTAGGGTCGCTGGCAGATTACGGGCCTCATTGCTGCTGCAGATGCCGTAATCTTTGCAATTGGGCCCCTGTACCGCCTCCTCATGTGCTGCCAGGTCCAGAGTCTCTCATTGGGTTCCCTTTGTAGGGCCCCTCTCCATTGCTGCTCGTCTCCATCGCCACACTCTGCCATTGTTCCACTTTCAGGTCTCCTCACCTGCTGGTTGCGGGTTCCATTTTGTCATAAGGGTGCTGTGCCAGAATTACGGGCCCTCTACCCATTGCTGCTGCCAGGCACGTAACTCTGTCATGCGGCCCCTGTACCGCTCCTCTCATGTCTGCTGCCAGGGTCCAGAGTACTCTCATGTGGTCCTCTGTACGGCCTCCTCATAGCTGATGTTCTCATCAGCTATACTCTGCCATTGTGCCACTTTTCAGGTCTCCTCACACTGCTGGTTCGTGGTTCACATTTTGTCATAGGGTGCCTGCGATTATCGTGCCTCCGTTTGCTGCTGCCAGAGACCGTAATCAGCCCTGGGCCCCCAGTACCGCCTCCTCATGCTGCTGCCAGGTTCCAGAGTCTCTCATGGGTTCTCTCCAGTACGGGCCTCCATTGCTGCTGTTCTCCATCGCCCACACTCTGCCATGATGCCACTTTTCAGGTCTTCATACACACTGCTGGTGGGTGTTCCTTTTTGTCCCATAGGACGTGCTGGCAGATTACGGACCTCCCAATTGTAGCTTGCCAGGCCGTAATCTGCACATGGGCCCCGTGTACGAACCTCCTCATGCTGTGACGTTGGAACCAAGGTGGAATTTCACCCTACAATATGTTAGACCGCCTTTACGTTACCAGCGAAAAAAGGCCATTCATCGATTTTCCTGATGTTACAAGCGGATTAAGGCTACTCACCTGTGTAAATCTTAGACTTGTCTAGCCATTGGCAAGCTCATGTACGTGGACAACTTGCCGACTTTGCTCAGACCTTTGAGGAGGCCACGCTATATTCGTTGAGTCTGGCGAGGGATTATGGGTCAAAAAAAATGTACGACGTCACTTCCTCTGTTGCACGGTCTGGAACAATATGCTGTTAACAATGGCTGGTCAGGGTTGCGGTCGACGTTGGGCGCACAGCTGTCAACGCAACATTGACCCCTGATGGGTGCTAGTGACAGGCAGAAGAGGAGGATAGGGTAGAAGGAGAGACATTGGTGCTCAGGAATTTATTGAGTGAATTATGGGTGGTATTCGTTCCACTCAGCGGACAGGAGAGTCGGAGGTGAAGGAGCTCTGGTAGAGGAGGAGGAGGAGACAGCCGAGGACCCCAGACGCACCGTGGCAGTTATGCTGTGGAGATGGATCGGCAGGGGAGTCCCTCGCATTCCTTGGCACAAATGGCCACATTAGCTATGCTCGGTTGCTTGCGGTAGCGACAGTTCCGAATCAGCTCCACCAGCAGCAGCTGCCTCAGTCTGCAGTCGATGATGAGTAGCTTTCTTCACCAGCGCAGTGAGGAAACTACTAACCAGCCTCAGCAGCAGCAGCATCAGGTGGACCTGGAGCAGGACCTCAAACAACAGGCTCGGGCCTACTTGGACAGCACCCTGCCAACCGAGGTAGACAATCCCCTTGACTACTGGGCAACGAAACTTGACCTTTGGCCCCAACTAGCTGAATTTGCCCTTGAAAGGCTGTCATGCCCGGCCAGTAGCGTGGCATCGGAGCGCGTGTTTAGTGCGACAGGAGGTATTGTAACTCCGCGGAGGACACGACTGTCCACCCAAAGTGTGGAGAGACTCACGTTTGTGAAAATGAATCAGGCGTGGATTAGTCTGGATTTCAAACCACCAGTTCCTGACACAACTGACTAAATCCGCCATGAATCATGCCCCAAACATGTTATTATTTTTAACATAGGCCTCTGTATGGCCTTCAATTTAAGCTGCTTACGCTTCGCCACTCTGCCATGGGCCCCTGTACCGCCTCCTCTTGCTGCTGCCAGGTCCAGAGTGTGTCATGGGTCCCTGTACGGCCTCCCATTGCTGCTGACTTCATCGCCAGACTCTGCCATGTGCCACTTTCAGGTCTCCTTACACTGTTGGTGGGTTCCATTTTGTCATAGGGTGCTGGCAGATTACGGGTCTCCCATTGCTGCTGCCAGGCCCGTAATCTGCCATTGGCCCCCGTACCGCCTCCTCATGCTGCTGCCAGGTCCAGAGTGTGTCATGGGTCCCTGTACGGCCTCCCATTGCTGCTGTCTCCATCGCCACACTCTGCCATGTGCCACTTTCAGGTCTCCTCACACTGCTGGTGGGTTCCATTTTGTCATAGGGTGCTGGCAGATTACGGGCCTCCCATTGCTGCTGCCAGGCCCGTAATCTGCCATGGGCCCCCGTACCGCCTCCTCATGCTGCTGCCAGGTCCAGAGTGTCTCATGGGTCCCTGTACAGCCTCCCATTGCTGCTGTCTCCATCGCCACACTCTGCCATGTGCCACTTTCAGGTCTCCTCACACTGCTGGTGGGTTCCATTTTGTCATAGGGTGCTGGCAGATTACGGGCCTCCCATTGCTGCTGCCAGGCCCGTAATCTGCCATGGGCCCCCGTACCGCCTCCTCATGCTGCTGCCAGGTCCAGAGTGTCTCATGGGTCCCTGTACGGCCTCCCATTGCTGCTGTCTCCATCGCCACACTCTGCCATGTGCCACTTTCAGATCTCCTCACACTGCTGGTGGGTTCCATTTTGTCATAGGGTGCTGTATGGCCTCCCATTGCTGCTGCCTCCACCGCCACACTGTGGCTCCACACTCTGGTTTTGGCCCCGTGACTGCCCAAATGAGTGAAGTGTGCGGTGATTCTAAGATCGACGGCACTCATCTGCATGTCATACTGACTGACAGTATTATTTCTCTTCCCCAGCAGACTCCAAGGGCATTTAAATTAAAGGTACAGTGTTCTGCACTAATATAAAGGCTCTCTGAAGCCTAGAAACACCCTTTTTATAAGTTAAATTCGCAGCGAATATATTCGCATCGAATCTAATTTATTCCTCGAATTCGCTGAATCAGCCGAATCGAATTTTTGAATACTTCGCTCATCTCCAATTATAGCCACTTGTTTACAAATTTTAAGCACCAAAACTGAAGGAAAATACTTGACATAGAGAAAGCTTTAAGGGCTCTTGAGGATGTGCACAACATATTCTATGAAATAATAAAGATATCTGCTAATGCGAAAAAAAAAAAGAGTGGTAAATCATTCTTTTGTTATGTAACAACCAGAAAGGCAGGCAGACGGAATCGTCCTCTGGATCCCCAAAAAAGAGAGATATTGGTGGTCCTCCTATGCCGATCTCTATATAAGGTGGCTTTAACAAAACAAGTTGTATGAGACCAAAGCTCATGGCATTAGACATGTAAAACAATATTTCTCCACATAGTGTAAAATCTTCAATAACAAAATTTATTATAAGGTAAAATTGCACTCACATGGTAATGGACATGAATCACCATGTACAAACAAAAAATCCTGTCTTTCCAGCACCCAAGATGGCCGCCTGCCAGTCGAGCATGCATGGTAGCGTGTGTACGTGGATCCGCCCTACATGATTTGTTACAAATTACGTCATCAGGGGCAGGTACACCCGCCCCACCACGCTCTTTATATAGGACCCAAAGCCCCAGAGGATCGCCCCATTGGTTCAAAATTGCAGGGGGAAGGTGATGACACACCTGAAGACTGATAGGCCAACTTCTCTAGGTTAACCAAGGGGGTGGAAAAATATAGTGTGAAGCCATCTAATGTTGAAAAAACAAATAGCATGCACAATAATAATAAAACAGTGATATATCACCATGAATATACAAGTGGACCACAGCACTACCCAATGGCTATAATATATAAAAAAGGTAATATCACACTTGCCGACTAATGAGTCAACCCAACTGAGTTAACCAATACAAGGATGGTAATGTAATGTGGTGCCTTCTAGTAATGAAAAACCATAAAGAGCCTAAAAAAGTGGCAAAAAAATGGAATAAAAAAATGGAATTAAAAAAAAAAAAAAAATATATATATATATATATATATATATATATATATATATATATATATATTTATGAATATATAGGTGGAGCACAAGGGCACCAAATGGTTATAGTGTTATTATGTGCCTACTACTAATTAAATGTACCGTAATACCACCCAATATTTAATATTAATTAAATCCAAAACTATTAATAAAATTAACAAATAACAATATGAATATTAGAAATTAACTCAATGGCGATCCTCTGTGACTGAAAATCACATAAACACAATATATTACATATACGGTAACAGATCCCATAAAATTGGTCATAATAACAGTAAGATACAATTCAACTATTGTTGATGAAACAATTAGTATCCCACTCAATATTTAGGGGCATAAGTCCTGAGTCGGTAAATCCAACTCATCGTTCTTTTAGCATTTCGCTCTCACCAGTCCGGTACGTACTTCTTCAGTGCAATGAAAGTGGTACCCTTAGTATATTATTGTGCTTTAAAGCATAATGCTTACATACACTATGTTCCTTATAGCTCTATTTTATGTTGGCAATATGTTCACCTAGGCGAACATGGAGGGCACGCATCGTACATCCTTTATATTATAAACCACATGGGCACCTCAACATATAAACCACATGTCTAGTTGCAAATGAAATGAACAACCGTATCTCATATGTTATACCAGTTTGTGCAGCCACAAAGTTAGTCATTTTCTTCCTCTAATAGAATTTATTTGACATGATTTACACTTCCTGCACAGATGGTAACCTTCCATGCTAGCAAAGAATACTTGCCAAGTAAATGGGTCTAGCACATTTGATGCTAATTTATTCCTAAGATTACCCGCACCTCTAAAGATAACAGTAGCATGGGAGTGTAAAATAGGGCCCAAAATTTGATTCTTCAGAACAGACCAATGTTTTCGGATGATGTTTTTAACCACATAGTGTTGGCTTGAAAAAGAAGTTAGTAATGCCAAACCAAAGCGATCAGACCTGCTCTGAACTGGTTCTTTATCTTTAATGAGATTATCACGATCATAACATCCCAACTCCCACATCAGTTTATCAAAATCATCTGCTTTATATCCTTTCTCGAAAAATCTCAACTTCAATATCAGAGCTTCTTTCTCATAATCCTCTCTACAATTGTATTTAGGTACTGCTGACAACCGTGAAGGATGATGGCAGGAATCTAAAGGGATATAACCATTCCTATCTGTTTGTTTTTTTTTTAAAGTACAAGTAGTGAGTATCCCATCCACTATAGATATCTTTAAATCCAAAAAATGCACTGAACTAGAACTGACTTCATGGCTCAGAACTGTACCTCTTTGGTTATCATTAAAAAAACTCAAAAATAAATCTAGTGAATTGATATCCCCATCCCAAATTAGAAGGATATCGTCAATAAATCGCTTCCAGAAAATTAACTCCAGCCTTTGGTTGCCCAAAACCATGTCCTCTTCCCACTTTGCCATAAAAAGGTTGGCCATGGTGGGCGCAAACTTAGCCCATATGGCCACACCCTTCTTTTGCAAATAATACGAACGTTTATGCCAGAAATATTTATGAGTCACACAAAATTGGAGTAAATCCATAACAAAATTATTTGAAGCTCAAGGATAGATCTATCCCTATTCAAAAAGAGTTCCACTGCTTCAAAGCCCAACTGATGAGATATTGCTGTACAAAGGAAAGATACATCCGCAGTAGCTAACAAATAGCCCAGTAACTTAGCCCAGTAACAAATAGCCCAGTAACTTAGCCCAGTAACTTAGACCAGTAACTTAGCCCATATGGCCACACCCTTCTTTTGCAAATAATACGAACGTTTATGCCAGAAATATTTATGAGTCACACAAAATTGGAGTAAATCCATAACAAAATTATTTGAAGCTCAAGGATAGATCTATCCCTATTCAAAAAGAGTTCCACTGCTTCAAAGCCCAACTGATGAGATATTGCTGTACAAAGGAAAGATACATCCGCAGTAGCTAACAAATAGCCCAACTTCCAGTTAATTTCCCCTAATACATTAATAACATGCTTTGTATCTTTCAAGTATGAGGGTATATTCACCACCAACTGCTGCAAAAAATGGTCAATATATTTGCCTGCTCGAGCCGTGATTGAATCTATGCCACTAATGATGGACCTACCCAGGGGGTTTTCCATACTTTTATGTATCTTTGGCAGACAATACATAACCGGTAACCTAGGAGCAGATGGTATAAGATATTCCTTCTCTTTTTTACACAAAATACCACTTCTGTATCCTTTATCAATTAACACTTTAAGCTCTTTTTTTGTACTGTAGTATAGGATCCCCCCTTAATAAGTCATAGGTGTCCTCATCCAATAGTATCCTAACCATTTCATTGTCATATGCTTCATCATCAAGAATGACAATTGCACAGCCTTTATCTGCGGGGCAAATAACTATAAGTTTCCTAGTACAAAGTTTTTCCATTCCTATATATGATGTCTTTATGAGGCTTAACATTTTTAATCCTAACTGACTCCAGGTCTTTTAAGACCAGATCTCGGAATACTGAAATGTTAGAAGGCCAATGTGCCAATGTGCTTTCTAACATTTCCCCTGGCAATGTCCAGGGGGGATTGAATAAAGAAGCGTTATATTAGAGTGAACAAACTGAGAAGAGATACTTGACTGATTTCTAACTGGATTGGTGGTAAGGTACTTCTTAATATTAAGCTTATGTGTGTATTTTGAATATCGATGAATATTTGAAACTTATTTAAATTATGAGGGGGAAAAATTTTGAACCCCTGTTAAGAGTGGACTCTTCCTTCTTAGTCAAAACTTTACCACCAAGATTAATAATACCACCACTTCCATCTACATTCTCTTTCTTTTTGGCCCAGTAGCAGTGGCAGGAGATAGAGATGGTGGTAGACCAGTAGCAGTCGAAAGAGCTGGTAATAGTGGAAGATGCTTATGTTGACAGACCAGCAGTGGTGAGAAGAAATGGTTATGATGTAAAGGGAAAGACATATTAGTGTGCTCTCAGTTTAGTGCTATATACACAGTACTCACTGCTATACATATACTGTATATAACTTGTGTATATACAGTTGTGTTCAAAATAATAGCAGTGTGTTGAAAAAAGTGAATAAAGCTCAAAATCCTTATAATAGCCTTTTATTTCCATACACACAAATGCATTGGGAACACTACACATTCTATTCCAAATCAAAACATGAAGAAAAATATATCAAATTTGTGTTGTTCCTCTAAAAAAATTAAAGAAAAGTGAATATTAGACTGTTCAAAAAAATAGCAGTGTTTTGTATTCTTCTTTACGAACTCAAACATTCACTATATAAACTGAAAAATGTTTGAAGATTTTGCTTTCCTTTGAATCACATAATTAATATTTAGTTGTATAAGCACTGTTTCTGAGAACTGCTGTACATCTGTGTTGCATGGAGTCAACCAACTTCTGGCACCTGTGAACAGGTATTCCAGCCCAGGATGATTGGACTACATTCCACAGTCCTTCTCTATTTCTTGGTTTTGCCTCAGAAACTGCATTGTTGATGTCACTCCACAAGTTTTCTATTGGATTAAGATCCGGGGATTGGGCTGGCCACTCCATAACATCAATCTTGTTGGTCTGGAACCAAGATGTTGCACGTTTACTGGTGTGTTTGGGGTCGTTGTCTTGTTGGAACACCCATTTCAAGGGCATTTCCTCTTCAGCATAAAGCAGCATGACCCTGTTCAAGTATTCTGATGTATTCAAACTGATCCATGATCCCTGGTATGCGATAAATAGGCCCAACACCGTAGTATGAGAAACATCCCCATATCATGATGCTTGCGCAACTATGCTTCAGTGTCTTCACAGTGTACTGTGGCTTGAATTCAGTGTTTGGGGGTCGTCTGACAAACTG